CAAAAATCAGCTGGAATGGGGCAGGGCCATGTCAGAAGTGGTTAGGGACATTCCACTGACAGGAGTTTGGGGAAAGACATAGCAAACAAAAGCAAAGTAAGGAAATTATTGATCGGCTGTAACTTCAAGCCTAGTTGGCTATTTCTGATTGGTCATTCTTAGCATTTTGATCTTGTAACCTTCAGGCATTTACAAACTTAGATTTCAGTTTATTTAGGTGGGCCTCTAGGGCATTAGCGCCACCTCCATCTGAAGGCCTTGTTTAATTAATTTAACAGGATTCTATATTTAAACCTCTCACAAAATAGTCATTTATTGGGTCAACTTCCTATGTCAGGTTATTTTACTGAGTGTATTTCTCTATGACTGCAGCTGTCCTTTCCCAGGTCTATGGGATTTTTAGCCTCAAATGTTAGAATCAATATTGTTGTTTTTATTTAGTGGCTGAGTTGTATCTGACTCTTTTGCAACCCTGTGGACTGTAGCCCACCAGGCTCCTTTGTCCATGAAATTTCCCAGGCAACAGTACTGGAGTGGGTTACCATTTCCTTCTCCAGGGAATCTTCCTGACCCAGGGATTGAACCTATGTCTCCTGCATTGGCAGGCAGATTCTATACCACTGAGCTACCCCTGGGTTTAATAGTTTCTGTTTATCTTATAAAATTAAAAAAAATCAGCACAAGCATAGAACTTAAGGCATAAAGAAGGTCTTTTAGCTTTACTTTTAGACCTGGGTTATTTAAGATATACACCAGGCCAGAATTGGTCTTTCATCAATTAATTAATTCATTTATTCAAATTTTTTTGTGTCATATTACAGGAATACAAATTTGAAGTATGTGCAATCCTTCCAGGGGTTTGTGATGGTGATAAAATTTATAACAACTAAAGGCAGTGGACAGTGCTTAATGTTCTAAATGCTCATGTCTAAGTAGGTGAAATCCCATGAAGGTTCCTAGAGAGGAGAGAGAACCTGTCAACTTGGGTGGAGGTTGAGCAGATGGGGTGGGAGCAAGAATTTTGAGGACAGTCTTAGTGGTTGATTGACATTTCATATGGCCCTTTTAGAGTGGGTGGGATCTTGAAAAGAGGGTTTGAGATGAAGAAAATATTAGAAGGTGGAAATAACATGAGGGAAAGCATTTTGGTCACCTGTGGGGCTCATAGGCAGATGAAACTGGTACTTAAATTACTAAAAACGGTGTCTAAAACAACATACTAGAAATTGTTTGCAGGTAGGTTAGGTGAAAATTTGAGGCTCAAGATTATTTTATAGGTACAAACTTGAACTTCTGTGTAGTAGTGATACATTAAGCCCTGGGAATGCACCTTGTAGACCTTCCTACACTGTGGAACAGTTGTCCCAGCGCCCCTGCTCCTACAGTTCAAATCCACTGTGGATCTTGCTTCCCAGAGGCTGCTCCCCAACTGTGAATGAGCAGGTTGAAGACAATAAGGCATGCTGTTCCAGGAAACACAAACTCCTTTGTCAGTTGACCTTGACTCAAAAACTCCCAGACAGTTTTGCTGAACCTTTACTTATACATTAAGGAAGTCTGGGTTGCTTTCATCCATAAGAAGGTGGGTGCATCAGCTCTCTTAGCCTTGCCTGGCTTCAGCTGTATTTCTCTCTGCACAAGCATTTTCACTAATAAAATCCTTGTACATTTAATCTCATCTTGACTTCTACATCTTAGACAGGGGACCAAGACCAACTCAAAGCTTTTAAGGATAGTAATCTGGTTGGGGGTGTATGGCTAGGGAGATTGTCTTGAAGAGGTGTTTGTATGGTGAACACACTGCTTTTGTTTTGATTTCATGGATATCTGAGGAGACTCTGGTGAAACTGGTGAAAACTATGGAGGTCTGTAGCACTCCCTAGGTTACCCTGGGTGTTTGTAGGGGGGCAGTCACAAAGTTTTTGACTTATTACAAGAATGACGATGCAGTTTATTTCATAGTTCAGTTATAAAGTATGATTAAAGTTGTATATGTAATGTATGACTAAAGAAAGTATTATTTGAACTCTAGTTAATTCCATGTAAACTCAAAATAATGAATAATATTAATAGTTTCTGCCTCTAGTTCAGTGCTTCAGACTCAGAACTGATGTGTTAAGTATTTGAGAAAAACAACTTAAAAATTCTTTTCTCTGTTAATTTTTTTCTCCTCAGTATACCTTCAATACATTTTATCAGGCATTATGACATGGCCATACAATTTCTTAATTTACAGTGCTCCTTCTTTGTATAGTTTGTGAAACAACTCTTTGCCACCCAGAGACTAACTCAATTTAATATCGATGAAGACATATGTTAAAGCATGTGCTTTGTTTGCCTGTTCCTCAGCTTTGTGTTACGCTTTGTCTTGCATTGAAATAGTTCTGTGTTTAGGGCCTTGCCGTTGGTTGCCTTGGATATCATGGTGCTGTCACAAGTTTAGGCTGTGACTTTACTGCAGGTGCTAACTAGAGGAGACAGTAGTCTGACGGGCAGAAGCAGAGGAAGGGAGAACTGGATTCCCACACACGCTGCGGCCTTGGCACGTCACACACTTATATGCATCTGTGAAAATAATTTATACTGGGAATGCGTGCAATAAACGAATGAAGACTGATCAGATAGTTAACAGGAGTGAAGGGGTGTGGGAGCAAGAGGAGCCTGGGTGCTGACTGAGGGCACTTGAAGAGCTTTGCGTTGGCAGCACTGAAAGGATGGCCAGGCACACCGAGGGGCAGGAGCAGAGGAAACTACCTAGAGGATCTAGGGCAGTCCTGAGAGTAAGCCAAGACTTTGAACAGGGTAAGTGGAAGGGAAGGGGGAAATGGCCAGTGGTTTTGATTTGCTTGCATTATTGGAGAATAGGAGCTTTTAGTATTCTTTGGAGAAACTCATGCTTTCTTCTGAGTGACTGAGGGGTTATTTAGCAAATGCAACAGCAGTCAGGCCTCTTGTTTTTATATGTAAAACTATCCTGTCATTCTTTTGTTGCTCTGGGATTATCCTAGAAAATTGGTACCTCATTTATCCAGGAAGACTTTCACTCATCTGCTAACCCCCTGGCACAAAGGTGCATTCCAAAATTGGAAGGGATTTAATGGACACTTCCTATGGACCTTACTGCTCTTTGATGTTGATGGCAATATTGACTTCTGTTTATAGTAAAATGGGTTTTTCTCTGGTAAATGTTTACTCTTGTGCAGAAAAATGTGAAAGAAACCTTATAATTCATTGTCCTCAGTAGTTTCATGAAGTTAATCATTATTTAAATTGAGGGTGGTAGAGGTAGAAAAGTCTGAAGAGCATCCATCTGTGACATTCCCAAAAGAAGGATTTTGCCAGTGAGTAAAACTGAGCGAATCACACTGTTCTTTAAAAATGCATAATGCGTTTTGTGCGAAGAAGATAGTCAAACGTGATATCATTTGTCTTATAGGTGCATGGAAATGAGACCAAGAGAAAAAAATAAGTGGCTTCGTAACCTCACTTCCAGAAGTGGAAAATAAAATGCAAGATTCCAATCCCTGCCCTTCCATTTCATCTTTGAAAAATACAGGTGAATGTTTATGAATCATTTTCAAAGTTGACCTAGTGTCTATGGAAACAGAAAGTGACCAAGACAACAGTGCTGATCTGACAGAAAGATTGTTTTCATTTTCTTGCAAACATCATTAGGATGGTATTGTTTTCTTATTTGTGAATGTAAAAGTATGTGACTTGATTTTTTTTCTCTTGACAACAAAGAAGAGTGGCAAGGGTGTGGGGAGGTGGTCCAGGCTGCCAGGCTAGTCTGGCAGCAATATGACCAATGACCAATGCTTCCTGTATTTGAGCTCCTCTGGAAGATTCTTCCCAGTCCTTGCCTCTTCCCAGTCACCCACAGTGAATGTCTGGCCGTCTGAGGGCCACCTGGCCTGAACTCTGTGTTATACTAGCTTGGCAAGAAATGCCACCCTCACTCCCGTGGTAACTGGC